TTGTTTCATGAAAGACATACAATTTCAGGGCATTTCACGAGTGTGTTACCTTGGGTTAGACTTAAAAATCGTCTTCAGAGCATCAATATCAATTCCAACATGTCATCCCCTGCCATCACAGTTTTTTAAGGGTAAAGTCACCTGAACGAAATTTACTGAACCATCGTTGACACTTAAGAATGTTCAAAACATTTCCATAAATTTCTTTGATATTGTTTGTGGCTACAGAGGCATGGTTTCCCTTCTTGTACTCAAACAGCATTACATGCCGAATGAGTGTCTCGTCGTATGCCATCACTATAAGGGATTATACTAAACCTTACACATTATACAGGCTACACTAACGTGATGTTTAAGCAGTTCGTTTAACTATTATACATGATGTACACGCTTTTTTTTGTGGGGTGGGTGGGTAATGAAAGTGTTCCAAAATGCGACATTAATTTCTTGACGACCTAATATATTATGCAAAACTGTAACCTCTTAAGATAAATATTTGTATTTTTTAACTTATAGTCAAACTTACAGTGTTTAACAAAGTATATAAAAAATAGTAGTCACTTACCTGGTTAAATCATATCAACATATCAGTGAAAATGTGGTGATCATAATCTTGAACCTGTTGCAGCATATCAGACAATAATGTGCATGTGCACATTCGTCAAAACAATCTGTTGGATTGATAACTGATTAAATCCTACATGCTTCTTTCCTATGGTTTATTAAAAAAATCATCATGAACTATTAGTTAGGGCAAAACATGATTAAACCAGATGTCGTACTAGCCAATCAAAAACTGTTTTTCAAAGTATAAAACCATTAGAGAATAAAACTATAAAGACTATTCAGATAATACTATTCTCGTTTTAACCAATGGTTCCTAACCTGCATGACATACCCTCCTTTGGGGTTCACAAAACATGGCATGTGTCCATCAGGCTTAGCTCCCTGAGAGGTTAAACGAGTTCAGTCATTAGACTTGTGGTCTGAACCCAGGGTTCTCATTAAAATTTCCATGAATCAACTATATTCACTTCTGTACTGTAGTTCATAAACTGTAGATATATATATGTAAATAAACATGAGTGTATATGTATTTAGTGCAAATAGGAGACGATTAAAATTTCATATGGTGTGCATGAGATGGGTTTCAGACCAAAATGGTTGGAAACCACTGATGGTAACAATACTGTTTAACTTCTCATGCTAGCTGCTGTAATTTCTTTTTTTTTATGATGATGGTATGATACGAGTTACCTGTTTAACTGTATAACACTAGAACCAAAACTTCAGTACTTTTTTTACATGAAAGAAAAAACTTTTACTATAATAAAAAAAGTATTTTAATTAATCAAAGACAATTCGTATGGGCCTAAAGTAACCACCTTAGATGGTTTTAAACCCAGTATAAATAATTAAATAAGACTGGAGTCTAATCAAGTAACATTAGTTTTATTGTGATGACAACACTGTTTAAATTCTCAACTCGGGTGTTTGGAATAGCAAAAGGCTCATTCAATCCTTGTTATAAAATTCCTATGGCTTTTGTAAATACATATCTGGGGCTTTTTATTTTGAAGAGGATGCAAGGAGCAGTTGAACATTTTTCACTTTGAATTACGTAAAAACATTAAATTCAATCAACACCTCTTGTTACATTTGCGTTTCTAAAATGCAGGCTTTTTTTTCCATTTTAGTAAAAATCTTAAGCATATAAAGCATAGAATTGTGTGTAAATGTTACCTCTGATTAAACTCATTAATATTGTCAAGCATCATATTAGTTCATCCACATGGAATTAATATATCCTGTTTATTTATAGCATGAACTGGCTTTTAAAGATGTTAAACCGATTTACTCTCTACAGAAGTGGTTAAAATAGAGTAGATGAGTCTAGATTGACATTCTGTCTCTTAACCCTTTCCAGACAGGTCATGGGTGAAAGGCCACGTCATTG